GTGACAAGACAGAGCACCATCAACCTTCACAACCATTCACAAGCCATACCTTCATGAAGAAGGCTCCAAAAGCGATGAAGAAAATATGAAATTTTCTCAAAAGGCAATGGAGAATACGGATGTGGAGATGGAGTTGTGAAAGGAGAAATCTGGAGTTTTATACGACAACGTCTTGGTCATATATAACAAGGATGCGTAGAAGGCATCACTCGATGAAGTTGAGAACACAAATAGTTCTTAAAGTGAAACAAGACAAAGGAATCCGAGGCTGGTGATCAAAGGAAGACACCAAGCAAGGAAAGAGGCTGCTTACCTCAGAGGAAAAGGGAGCGGGAATCGGTTATAGTGATAACCGAAGAAGACGTGGAGAAGATTCACACTTAAGACATCAAGGAGACGTGACGAAAGTCCACGAGACTTTCAAGGAGACATGGAGAAAGCTCGCGGGTAAGAGAAAGCCCAAAGAGTTCCAATGTCTGAAATGGGAACCGGTTACAAAGATAACCGAAGAAGATACGTRAAGGAGACGTGAGGAAAGTCCATGAGAGACTTGATGGAGACATGGAGAAGGCTCATAGGTAAGAGAAAACCCAAGAGTTCCAATGTCTGAAGAAGAAAGAATTGACAAYGTGTCAATTGCAAAACAATGAAAACACATAGGCTAAGAAGAAGATGTCAAAAATGGTAACATTTGAAGAAGACGAGGAGTGAAGACTTCACAAATGGTGGAGTGAAAAGATTCAACTCATACGGTAAAGCCTCTGAAATTGGAAAATGGAGAGAAACCATGGATGAAGTAGCTGAATGATCGAGAAGAAGAAGGTTTGATATATTGTAAAAAAACCAAAGACTAAGGACAACTAAAGCATCTTAATGTGAGACGGAAACTCAATTAAGGGGGAGTGTTAGTTTATAATTGAGTTTATATGTATTATAACATAATACATGTACGTGAGGGAGTATGCAAAAGTTGTAACTTGTCAAAGAAGAAAGGTAGTTATTTAGTTTGAAAGTCACAAGAGGTAAAAGACACAACTCTTCACTTGTGTCTATTTTACATCTATATAAATGTGTCAATTGTAGTCATGTAAACTTGTCGAGAATAAGAGAAGTTTTCAGATTTCGTTTTGTTCTTTAATTCTCTTCCAACAATTACTAAAGGGTTCCGTTTTTTTTCTTTGTGGAGATTTGTTTCTTATATGTTTCTTCTTTGTGGTTATTGATTGTTTTGATATGCTATTAACAGACGCATCCGTTTGCAAAGCAGTTCTTCTTACACCGAATAGCCTCATCTCTCCGTTCCAAATTTACAACTCCCGGTTTAGATATCTTCATCCGTTTCTCTCCTATTCCTCATAATGATTGATGTGTGTCGATTTTGACTAACAAAAATTCATTATAGTTTGGCCCTATTCTTTTCGGAATCGCTGCGACCAGCGTCGGCAGACACAAGAAT